AGGGATGAAATGACTGCAGACTTTGGGAGACACCAAAGTGAATTGGGGAGCACTCACGATGGAATTGATGGTAGATGGAAGGAAGGAGGTGATTAAGGGAGATGCAGGGCTATCCAAATCCATGGTTTCTCTTAAAACTATGGTGAGGGATATACAGTTGGCCGGTGGAGGATATTTGGTGGAGTTATGCAGTTTGGAGGGAGCGAGGTTGGAAGAGGGAGGGGACATACCCCTCTCCATACAGTCGTTGATTCAGCAATTCCAAGAGGTGTTTCAGCCACCTCAGAGATTGCTATTGTAGAGGGAGCAGGTGCACGCCATTATTTTGAGGGAAGGTGTGTCACCCATTAGCGTACGGTCTTATTTCTACCCTTAGTTTCAGAAAGATGAAATTGAAAAGCTGATTAGAGAGATACTGGAGGCAAGAATCATTAGACCCAGCGTTAGTCCCTTCTCTAGTCCGGTACTATTGGTAAAGAAAAAAAGATGGCAACTGATGATTCTGTGTGGACTACAGGGCGCTCAATAAGGAAACTCTATCTGACAAGTTTTCCATACGAGTTATTGGCGAGCTGTTAGATGAGTTGAGTGGAAGTGTGGAACAATGATATTCAACAAGATAGATTTGAAACTAGGATACCATCATATCCGAATGAAGGAGGATGTGCCCAAGATTGCCTTCAGAATTCATGAGGGACACTACAAGTTCCTGGTGATGCCTTTTGGCCTCACAAATGCTCCAGCCACTTTCCAGGCTCTTATGAATAAGGTTTTCAAACCTTATCTCAAACGATTTGTAATGGTATTCTTCGATGACATCCTAGTCTACAACATGACAGAAGAGGAGCACTGAGAGCATTTAAAAAGGGTGTTAGAGGTACTGCAGGAGCACCATCTGAGAGCCAACTTGAAGAAGTGCTGCTTCGCATAAGCCAGTGTAGAGTACTTGGGCCATATTGTATCAAAAGAAGGGGTGGCAGCAGATCAGTCCAAAATTGAGGCAATGCTAAAGTGGCCAGTGTCTAAAAATCTGAATGAGCTAAGGGGATTCCTAGGGCTGACTGGTTACTACAGAAGGCTTATAAAGGGGTATAACACCATAGTATGGCTACTGACTGAGCAGTTGAAGAAGGACGGGTTCTTATGGGGGGAGATGGCCACATTAGCATTTGAGAGCTTGAAGATGGCTATGACTACGATACTGATCCTAGCGTTGCCAGATTTCACTAAGATCTTCATAGTGGCTACAGATGCGTCTGGTTATGGTTGGGTGCAGTGCTTATGCAGAGTCGTAGACCTATTGTCTATTTCAGCCAGGTGTTAACTTTTAGAGCTAGGCTGAAGTCTGTTTATGAGAGAGAGTTAATGACCATCATTTTGGCCATTAAGAAGTGGCATCCCTACGTACTTAGGAGGCATTTTATTGTCAGGACAGATCAACGGAGCTTGAAATACCTGCTGGAACAATAGATGGTGATAGAGGAGCATCAGAGGTGGCTGGCTAAGTGGCTGGGGTATGATTTTGAGATTCAGTACAAGCCAGGAGTGGAGAACAAGGCGGTAGATGCCTTGTCCAGATGTATGGGGGAGCTGCAGATAGTGGCACTATCTGTTCCTTTGATGCTTGATTGGGTGGCCATAAAAGAGGAAAGTGCTAGAGATGAGGATTTGGGAAAGATCATGGCAGATTTACTAAAGGAAAAGGGTAGTCAATTAGGGTACTCATTGGAGGGGGCAGACTGTTGTATCAGGGGAGGTTTGTGATGTCCCGTACTTCGATCCACATCCCAAACTTACTCCAGGAGTTTCATGGGAGTGCGGTTGGGGGCCATTCAAGAGTGGAGAAGACATAGAAGAGGCTAGCTTCAGAGCTTTACATGGTGTCCAGATGTGAGATCTGTCAAAGGAGAAAATACCTGGTCATGCCACCAGGAGGAATACGACAACCGTTGGCTCTACTGGGACTAGTATTGGAGGAGATATTCATGGACTTCATACAGGGGTTGGCCCGTTCAGAAGGTTTCACGGTGATTTTAGTGGTGGTGGACAGGTTGAGCAAGTATGCACATTTCATCCCCCTTCGACACCCCTATGCAGTGGTGACATTGACTTCAGCTTTCATCGGAGAGTGATTATATTACATGGAGTACCAGAGGCGATAATATCAGATAGAGATAAGGTGTTCCTCAGTCACTTTTGGAGGGAGTTGTTCATATTACAGGGGACAGTTTTGACGAGGAGCACAACTTACCACCCACATACGGATGGCCAAACGGAAGTAGTTAACAAGAGTTTAGAGACTTACCTGAGATGCTTTGTGTCGGAGACTCTCAAGCTATGGGCTAAGTGGCTATCATGGGTTAATACTGGTACAACACATCTTTTCATTCTGCCGTAGATGACCCCATTCAAGGTGTTATATGGACGGGATCATCCCCACTTGGTGCACTTTGGGGGTAGCAATACTCCAATTTCTTCAGTAGAGGAGTACTTGGAGGAGAGAGATCGAGTGCTAGAGGAGTTGAAGAGACATCTGCTGAGAGCTCAATATATTACGAAGAAGTATCATTTCTAAAAAGTCTTTTTCACTATTGTGTCCTGTTAAAAGTCAAATTCTCATTTAAAGCTAATAAAAAAAGATCATTTCTAATATTTTCTAACCAAGTCTTTTTAGGTTTACCTCTACCTTTCTTAACTTAAGTCAAATCTAATACCTCAACTTTCCTAACCTGGTCATCGGAAGGCCTCTGTTTAATGTGACCAAACCATCTAAGACAACTCTCTCTAATCTTATCTTCCACTGGAGCTACTCCTACCTTTTCACGTATATGCTCATTTCGTATCCTGTCTCTAAGAGTAAAGCCACTCATCCACCTAAGCATCCTCATCTCTGCAACACTTAACTTAGTATTATGCTTCTCTTTTAATGAACATCATTCGGCACCATAAAGCATTGCAAGTCTCACCACCATCTTATAGAAATTTTTCCTTAAGTTTAAGGGGGACTTTTCTATTGCACAACAAGCCCGATGCATTCCTCCACTTCAACCATCCAACTTGAATTCTGCTGATAATATCCCCATCTATTTCACCATCACTCTGAACAATATATCCAAGATATCTTAAACGTGTGCTCTTATTAATGACTTGATCGCCCAAAATCACAATCCCCTCACTAGGTCTATTGCTACTAAAATTATACTCCATATATTCAGTTTTAGATCTACTCAAGCAAAAACATGTAGAATCTGAGGTTGACCTCCATAATTCGTTTACCTTCAACTCCCTCTCTAGTTTTATCAACAAGAAAAATATCATCATAAAAAAGCATACACCAAGGTACATCCTCTTGCAAATGTCTAGTGAGAACATCCATGACTAGAGCAAAAAGATATGGGCTTAAGGCTGATCCTTGATGTAATCCAGTCAAAATTTAGAAAATACTTGGTCAAACCACTTTGTGTTTGAACACAAGTAATAACTCATGCATATATATCTTTAATGATTTGAATATAAGCGTTATTAACTTATTTATTTTCAAGAACTCTCCATAGCACTTCTCTTGGAACTTTATCATATGCTTTCTCTAAATCAATAAATATCATATGTAAATCATCCTTATTCTCTCTATATTTCTCCTTCAAACATCTCAATAAATGTATGGCTTCCATAGTATACCTACCTGGCATGAATCCAAATTTATTTTGAGAAACATTAGTATCACGCCGCAACCTACGCTCAATTACGCGCTCCCATAGTTTTAAAGTATGACACATTAACTTTACTCCTCTATAATTCGCACACTCTTGTGCATCACTTTTATTCTTAAAAATAGGAATTAACTCAATCATTCTCCAGTCATCTGACATCGTTTTAGTCTTCAAAACAGTATTAAAAAGTTTAGTAAGCCAAGAAATTTTATCTCCTAAGCATTTCCACACCTTTAATGGAATATCATCATGTCCAACAACTTTTCTACACTTCATTTTCTTTAAAGTCTCTCCAACTTCAGTTTTATTGATACACCGATAAAAATAAAAATCTTCATTTTCATTTAGGGTGTAAGGTCACTGAAGTCAATCGTATTTTTATATTCTTCATTAAAAAGTTTAGAAAAATATCTCATCCACCTTTGTTGAATATCATCTTTTAAGAAAAGTACATTTTTATGTTTATTCTTAATACACTTCACTTTAATAGGACACAATGGAGAAAAAGGATTCATGTAGCCGACCCCACGTAGTGGGATAAAGGCTTGATGTTGTTGTTGTTGTTGTTGTTGTTGTTGTCTTAATACACTTCACTTGAACTAAATCCTTATTACTCCTATATTTTTTTTTGGCTAACATATATATATATATATATATATCTTTCTCCCTTCTTAGCACCTAATCTATTATAGAAATCATTAAAAATTAAGCTCTTTGCATCGCAAATAGGTTTCTTAGATTCCTTACAAGCCTCTTTATAGCTTTCCCAATTATCAGAAATTTGACATCTAAATTAATTTTTATATCAAATCTTCTTATTTTTTATCTTTTCTTGCACATTTGGATTCCACCACCAACTATTTTTACTATTAGTAGATTTTCCATTCGAAACTCCAAGCATATCTTTTGCAATATTCTTAATATCACTAGTCACTTCCCACATAACATTAGCATCCTCATGCACAAGACAAAATCTTAAGATCTAAAATCTTATTCTCAAAAATACATTTGTTAATATCCTTTAAATGTGCCACATCTAATCCTAGAAATTTTTTTTTAATTTTCTGCCCCTTTATCTTAAACTCCAAAACTAATAATCGATGTTGGGTACAAAAATTTTCACTCGGAATAACTTTACAAACTTTACAAACTTTACAATATGAACGATCTAATTTTCTTATAAGAAAATAATCAATGTGTTTTACTATATCTATTTTTATAAGTGATAAGATGCTCATCTCTTTTCTTAAATAGCATATCTGAATATGCTACTTTTTTTAAAATTTGCAGTCATTTCATTCGAAGCATAAGGAGAAGATGGATTATCCAACAAATGGTCTTTCCATCATGGGATGTCTTAGGCCTGCTTTTGTTGATGAGGAATCTTATCTTCGGCGGTTATTCCATGAGGAAGAAGATGACTCTGTGTTTGATTGGAGAGGTACTTCATGCTCCACCATAGAGGCTGTTTATGGGACTTTTTCATTTTTCAAATGAAATTTAGTTGAGTCGACTGTTCATGTGCAGATGAATCAGAGAAGGAAGAGGAACGGATGGCTGGAATGCATGGTTTAATAGGTGCAACTATCCACCTTTGTCGTAGAAGCCCTTTTGACCTTCAATTATTCTTTAATTTGACAAAGTAAACATATTGATGCCTAGATAGAGAAATGTTGAACTTCAGCTCTAGACGAGATAGAAGCAACTTAAATTCAACCCTCTACAAATTGGAGATTATGACCATGGAGCTCTTTTCTGTATATGGTGATCAAGCAAGTATTCTGCACTTTATACTGTCTAGTGACTGCTGTTATTAGAACTTTTATGAATTACAGTTTTACAGATGCACCGATAGCTTGCTTGTGGTAACTTTAAATGATTTCATTGATTTGTTAAATTGCAGCCTGTCATTAATTTCTTTTCTTACTTTGAAATCTCGCAGTCAATTATTGATTTGCAAGATTTCCAAGATGCTGAACCTGATGTTCTTGCACACTGTGCTTCAGCGATTATAGAACGTTTTAGTGAGGACGGTATGCAGTTTGATGCTGCTCTTAAAGCTCTATGTCGAAAGAGGAAGGGTCTTGTTGTTGAGGTAAAAGTTAGCATGGACAGCACTCTTACTTTTTGTATTTCAATATGCCCGAATATTTGTTCCTGTATACTTAAACTTCCTTGTTTGCTAGTATCATATAGCATTCAGTATTTTGATTCATCCAGCCTTCATCTGAATAACTGTTGACAAATTATTTCAGTTAACAAGGAATGTCAACTCTCAATCTCCCATTCCTCTCCTCCCTTTCCTATTGCTCTTCCTCCTGAATCCAGACTGGAGCCCTTGCTGTTGCCCCCCTTTGCTCTGCTTCCTCCTCCCTCCACCCTCTCTTTGAAGTCCTATAATTTTCCTCTCTTTGAAGTCCTATAATTTTTTAAGGGTTAATATCAGGCTGTTTTTGCTAGTTTTTGTTGATGCTTTAATGTTTTTACATAATTTATATGTTGTACAACATCCTTTAGAATTTATTTTTCTTTACACCATTTATTATGTTTTGAAAATTTTTGTTTTAAGTTGCTTTACTAAACTAAAGCAAGGCTTTTCACACAGGGAGCAAATCTTATTGGTGTTGACAGCCTTGGCATGGATGTAAGAGTCTTCTTTGGGTTGGAGGCAAAAACTCTTCGCATTTCATTTAATGCTCGGGTAGTACATTGTATAACCTAATCTGAAGTTTTGGATTAATATTGTACTTAAATTTATGCTTTATAATTAAATATAATTAACTGCATTCTAGTTTCTATAGCTCTGTTTCAGCACCATATTCTACTTTATGATGCTGTTACGTGGTGCCAAAGATATTGGAATTTTATTAATTGTAGTATGAATTGGACTTGCATTTTAAGCTGTAGTGTGTTAGTGCGTGGTTGATGGAACAATAGTTGGCCCTTTGCTATGCGCCCGAGGAGGAGGTTAGGTGGAAAGCGTCTTAACAATTGATTTAGCTGGAGAAAGGGAGAACCAGCTTCGACTTAAATTCTATTTTTTATTGGCATGATTGTTACAATTATTTTATGTATTTTATGCTCCTTTATTTTATTAGAATTGTTACAGTAAATGTTATTAAATTTATCATTAATCTGGTAGCAGTTTATTAACTTTTTTTTTGAAGAATTCAAACCATGTATAGTTAATTATCCCTCTCGATAACGAGAGGGAACTTTCGATTAAGGCTAGTCATTAGAATATGCACTTATTACCAGCTTGTAGTAGCAACATAATTAGATATTGAAAATTAGAATTTATCACTGCGCACTTAAAACGGATGGTGGGGGGAATGACGATGAACCAGATCAATATCCCATGGTTTCGTCATCCCGGGTCATCCTAATCTCTAGTCTTCTTAGTCAAAGGAGGTAGTCGACCCAACCTGATCGGAGGAACCTTGTCGGCAACTATCGGTTTGCTTCGTCCATGGGTACATTGTAGACTTGGGGTGAATGTTTGCCTAAGGTGACATATTTGAGTCTACCTTAGCAAACAAAGGGCTTTATACCCTATTGATTATATATTACTGATTCATTACTCAAAGATTTAGGCCGTTGGGGGACACACGGGCTCTTGCCATGACCGTAATTTAGTTATACCATTTGGCAAAACCACTCGGTCAGAGGGTCTCGGTCATAACTGTTTACATGTGGTGCCATTTGGCAACGAAACCACCTGTTAGAGGATAAATATCACATCCTTACTGGCAATAGATGATTCAAGAATGAATCCTAGTAATATTATCAATTGAACATTAGGTGTTTGTGAGCTGAAGTGATTTTCAAATTTATCCACCTTGAGAAACTATTGTGGGTGGATTGATTTTTGCTTTAAGTTATTAGGTGATTTATTTCATCTTAAATGTTTTAATTTTTGTGATTTTTGAGTTTTGAACTTTTATTTAAATTGAAGCTCTTTAATGATTGATTTTGAGATTTGGGGACATTTAAAAAAGATATGATCCTCTCCGGTTGAGAACAACCTTTAACGCGATCATCATCAGGGATTTATGGGTATTATCATTCTATTAGTTGAACCTTGTCAACTCTGTTTGCTTCCAAACAGAGGATCGGGTCAAGCTCCTAATTTATGGAGTTATCGTTTAGATATCAGAACCAAAGCCCTACACAGGGTCCTGGTCGAGTACCCATTGGGTACCCACGCTCTGTGCGGACTGGCTTCGCTCACCCACCCCCCACTCATAATATTTTTCAGGATGACGTACCCACCCATATCCATGCATTGTTCGACCTTAGACGTAAAAGAAATCCTACAAAGAATTGAAATGTAGAAGACAATAACAAAATAAAAGTATTTTCATATTTCCCAAATGCCTGTAATATACAATACATGGTTTTATATAATGATGCAGGGGACAAGTTGTTAGAGTGCAGCACAATATGTTATATGAAGCTTGCGGTGTATTGGACTAACATGTTAACAAGCCGCGCAAGTCATTGTTCAATTGGTAGAATAATAGATCATTCACGTGAGCGGGCTTTCGACTGTTGCGCTTCTTAGTCAGTGTGTTGCCGGCGTCTGAAAAGTTGTTCTCAGACATGGCGCTGGCGCCCGTAATGCATAAAATAGAGTTTATGACTAGTGCCATGATCGGGAACGTCTTGATGCCCACCAGTCCCCACCACTTTAGGACGTCGAACTCCCCGTCCTCGTCACCGCACATCTTCTGTTCTTACAGGCTAACCTTATGCGCCATGTAGGCCGTGAACTCTAGGCCGGCTCTGACTTGCAAGCTATTAGGGGCAATGTTGGTGGCCATCTCAGGCTCATCATCATCTTTAGGCAAGTCATCGCAAACTGAGTAGGAGGCGGTGGTGTCTATCCGTGCCTTCTTAGCCGGCGGTGGCCTTATGCCATCGTCATCTTCATCGATGACTGAGTTAAGGCCATGGCCGTGCTTGATCATATATGCCTTCAACTTCTCCTTGGCCTCGTCAACCTAATCAGCATTGATGTTCAACCGATGTAAACGCATCTACATGACCGGGTCGAGCACCATCGCAACGACATGGACGGGCTGAACACGAACTTCTCCTCGAAGATGTGCTGGATGATCTCCCTGAGGGTTTATCCACCATATTGAGTACCCACCCATACCCACCCATAAGTCTATGAGTATACCCATACCCACCCATATCCATTGGGTATGGGTGGGTACGTGGGTGAGTGTGGGTATGGGTGCCCAATGCAGGGCTCTGATCAGAACCTAGGATGTTCATTTTAATATGCGAATTTTTTGTGTAAGATACCTTGAAGGCCTAATATGAATGTTAAACATTAAATACTTCAGTTAATTTCAACGAGTATCGGTTCCGAGAGTTTATACTTTTAATAATAAATCTTTATAAACCTTGAAGGTCTAATATGAATGTATAAAATTAAATACTTTGTTCGGCATTACGATCATGTATTTGTTCGGTGGTTCACCTAGGGTTAGATTTTATCTCTATTTTTGCTGAAAACTGGTGGTCCCTAATTCTTTTTGGGTCTCTAGCGGCGTCTAGAGATTTGGGAGAGCCGGATCTTCCTCTCTAATAGATGATCTATATTGTATTTGGTTTCTTTTCTTCAACTATTATCAATTAAAAATTTTAATTCTTATTTTTCTTTTAAGTTCTTTTCAGTTTCTGTTTTGCAAAGTGCTGAAATTAAATTTCAGTAAGGTAGACTCTGATGGAAATAATAAAAAAAATCAATGGAACAGAAAACCTGATGCATGCTGGAGGAGAGATGAAAATTTGTAATTGTACATGTGGTTAGCAGCGCTGCTGTAATTGCAAAAAGATTCTTGCTGCAATAGATTTTGGTCAGAGTGGAGATCCTGGAAGTATTTCTTTAAACTGTTGCAGGTCTGCGAATGAGTCTTGCGGGGTAGGTAGTCCTGGGCAAATGCTTCCTTAGTTGCTAAGGTTTGCGGCTTGAATCCCGTGACTGAGGAAGGCCTACTGTGGATGACAGGTTCTTGCGACTGAATTCTGCGGAATAGGTGCGGATGAGGGCTGCGACTGCAGTGGAATGCCGTGGCTACAAGAGCAGCAACCCGTGGTTGTTAGCAGGGAATGGATGACGATGAACAAGAAATGATGATCCCAAAGAAGTGGATTTGTCCGTTGGAGCTGAAAGTTGTGGCAGACGGTAGACTTGTGGCTGTAGGAAGAAAACATGGTGGACTGAAGATGGTCTGGCCGGCAGGTGTGAAGAAGAGGATGACTGGAATCTTGATGGGTTAACCATGAGAATGAAGGAAGAACCGCAGTGAAGAAGCTTCTTGCAATGGCTTGAGGTTTGTTTCAACGAGAGCATCATTTGTAAGCTTCTTAGAGATCTAAAAAAGTACAACACTTTTAAGAGTAAGTGTAAACTCCCAAGAGAAAATAGAAGAGATAAAAAGAAAGAAGAGAAATAAGAAGTTTTTATTTATAATATTTTTTTTACAATAGGAGGTTACTATTTGGGTAGACCAAGTTTACAAGATGGATATGGTCTACCTAACAAAAATTCAATTAAAATAAATAAAAATAAACTAGTGCTTATTACAACCAACATTATGTTGTTAGTATTTATTGTTTTGAAGTTCTTTGGTAGACTTTAATGATTGTCGGTTGATCCTTCTTGTTGGTAGCCCTTTCTTCACAATTTGTTTGTACAATTTTAGGATTCAATAACATATATTGATATGTAACATTTTCCCATGTGTTAAGAGACGATCTATCAATTCTGTAACCTAGAAAATATGCGGATCTTTTTTAGTGTTAATGATTGTAGCAAGGTAATATAACTTCGGAGAAAAACTTGTCAAAAATTCATTGTTTCTACAGCTCTTGAGATTCCGAATGGGTGCCAACTAGTCCGGTTGGTAAGGGCTTTAGAAGTTGTTACCAAAGGCTTGAGTTTGATTCTCCTCTATTGCATAAACTCTTTACCTGAAGACTTTGGGGTGTGGGAAAAAAAAAAAAACTCTTGTATTTTAGATGCGGCCGTTGCATGGTGCTAGGAAATGTAGTAGTATTCATGGCTTGTTGAAGCGTACGTGTGCATTTGCCCCTGTTTTCTGATTTTCCTCCTGTCTTCCAATGTAGAGAGGCTACTACTATTCGGTCCCCAGCACCATACCAAACAAATATGTCGTCTGCTGAATGCCAAAGCCATGAAAATCTTCACCTAACCTCCCAACTAAGCAACAACTTTTTAGCTTTGGCTCTATTATCACTGTTTTAATTTTTAGTGGAAAGAAGATAAATTATTTGGAGGTTAAAGTGGTGAAGCCACATGAAATTGAAGAGAAGCAGAAGCATTTGAAATAAGATGAGGAGAACAGCTAACCCAAACATTTTCTCTTGAAATTGTTTTCAATTCACTACTATAGCTTCCAATTTTTTTATATGAAATCCAGCTTAATTAAGAGGCAAAATATATCTCCTGCAATATTTACATGAAAAACTAGAATTCTTTCGGAATAATTTTATGAAGTAATATCCGCAATAATATTTTAATGCATTATTCATTATACATGCTTTTTTTTTTAATATTGATTGTACATATATTTCAAACTTTTTTTCCGCAAGCATCTTACATTATTTCAAAGGCTTCCAAAAAATTTGGCTATGGTCTTTCTTTTAGAAGTACTAATGCTCGTCACTTCATACAGGTGACGACTGAAAGTTCAGCAGAAAAGAAGATCCGAAGGATGCTATTCCCTCATTATCACCGCAAAAAATCGAGATCTCTCAACATTGGTGTTGAGACATGATTGAGAGTTTATACTAAAAAACACCCTGTATATTTCATTTCTAACAAAGTTTCATCAAATAAGTTCTGGAGTTTCATCTCATATAAGGCTTAGGCTATCCTGTTCTTTATTTGTATTGGCATTGAATAATGGACAGTCCTTGGAGGTCGAGAGACTCAGCAAACAAGGCATCAGGCTTTTTTATCTTTTAAGTGTTGAGATTCTTTCCACGGCATTTTATATCGATGAGAGATGGAGATTGCAACTACTTAAATAATGCTTTTTATGATATGTTGTCATCATATAATAAAGGAGCCTAATAAGGGAGCTCCAACAGAATTTGGTATGGCTTTATTTTTACTTTCTCTATGACTAATTATATTAGCGATATTTGTGAACAAAGAACTGTTACAGTTGATTCACAAGGATTGGTTTCTCTCCATCTCCCTGTTTTTTTTTTTGTTATCACTAACAATTTTTTTTATCTTAATTCTCTAGGGGAACCAACAAATGATAACAAGCACCAATGAAGAAACTTTTGAATCCAAGTATCCATCAATGATTGCATTTCCACTCTCTAAAAAACCCAACAATCTGATTGTCAAGTTATTAGGAATTTGATTGGCCCTTCTTACAGTGGTGAGTCTCTTAGCTTCTCACTCTAAATTATTTCTCAAGTCTTTTGGGTTCAATGTGTTCCTCCATTTTGATCATTTGCATTTGATTGATTACTGAAGCTATGTAAACATTCTCCTAAGAATTGTAGATTTCATTGTGGGTTTGAATCAAACCAAATTGGCAAATAATCATTTACTTCGTCTAGGATCTTGCACACCCTCCATTAAAGTATGGTTTGTCATTAACTATATCTAAATTGTTTTGGCTAGGATTTATTGCACATTCAATTCATTCAACGTAGGAAACAAAAATACTTCCAAATAAAAATTCATAATTTTTAAATATAACTAAATTATCAAAGATTGTATAAAAATCATTATGAGACATTAATCATACTATGATGTTATTTTTTAGAGTCTGGATTATTTTCTATTCGATAAAAAAATACCAAATCTAGAATGCCTAGCAAAAAAATTCAAAAAATAAATAAAATATTTATGATTATAATATCTATAACATATAAATGTTACACAAAAAATTTTTATGAATACAAAGTTATTATCTTTTTTCAGGATAAATCCAAAAAATATTAGATTATTGAAAACTGAGAGTTAAAATGACACCTACCTTGAGGTGAATAATTTTTCCAACTAGCATGATGGTTTATGGCTAAAAACTATCCGGAGCAGTTCATAATCCTTCTTTTCCTCTCCAAAACCTTTCTCCTCTCTCCTCACATCAGTTGCATGTGAACAAATGCAATTTGAACAGTGCTTTTAAAATATACGTGATGTACTATTATGGCCAAGAGCTGCGGCACTAGTTCAAAACTAAAAAGACCTGAGGCTATAACATTGCAATGTCACTATTTGGCGCATAGTATTATAGCTGAGTTGAGGCGTTCGGACGCCCAACACTTAGGCACTCAAATAGTAATATTTCTCATATTTTATCGAAATTCATAACACTTGAGACTAGTTCTAAAACACATACAATCATTTTCATGTATAAAAATACTTTGAAAGACATTCAAATGGGTTCAAAATTCAAAACTCAAAATTTTAAAGATTTGCTTTTTGGCAGTTGGGTCAACTGGCTTGAATTTGACTCTCATCCTAAAGGCCTCACAGATTGTCACTAGTAGAATAGGCTCGCCGAGTGATGAGTGACAAGTTTGGTCATGTTGAGTGATGTCACTCAAGTTCATGCAGAAAGAAATATACAAGAGTAAGGTTTATTTATCAAAGAATTGGGCTTGCATCTTGATGGGATTCCAATTACTATTAGTAATGCCAAGTTTTAAGGCCATTAGAGATTATCAATTCAAATTAAGACACGTGCCCCAAGTCATTCTCAAGTTTTAGATAACCCGGGCAAATTGTTAAGGGAAAGAGAACAAATGAGCATATGGACTACCGTTATACTAGTCGCTTGAGGTGTCACCATTGTTCTGTTGACTAGGCAAGGTCCAAGAAGGTATAGGGATTCCATTTTATGTTGAATGAGCATAAATTGAATTAGAACACCCATTTTGGGATTAGGTTAATGGATTTGACCCATTTGGGTTAGCATATTTGGGTAGCTAGCCTAGCGTCTTAACTAAGCTCATGAAAAATTTGAGGGGATTCGGAATTGATTTAAGTTGAATAGGTTCATGGTGATAAAAGTGGGTCATTTGAACGAAATGACTTGCCCTTACATTTTCAAAATAACAAAATGGCTTTCTCTTAATTTAAGGATAGATCTAAGTAATCCTAAATGGGATTATGGTCACTTAGGACCCTTGCTTAAGTTATAGGGCTATATTTTGTCTAATTGGGTTTGATTTGGATGTATTGTGTTCAAAAGAGGATTTTGTTCAAACTTAAGTTTTATCATAGTAAAAAGGGTTAGACCCAAGGTTAAGCATTAATTCAAATACTTCTGGGATGGGTTAAGATCATTTGACTTAATGCCAAGATCAATAGGTTTGGTTTAGTTAATTGGGTTTGAATTTGGGTTAAAAAAGAAATTTTAGTTATGAATCAAATGAGTTGACTAAAGTTCCTTGGCCCATTGGATGGGTTCAAGATGAAGCTAACATTACCTAGGGTCATGGGCTACTTAGGGTTAGCATAAGGTGAGTAGTATTAGAGGCAAATACAAAAGATCAATAGTATCACACCTAAAACCAATTAATATTGTAGCATATCATTATTGTACATGTGTTACTCTATTTGTACATTTCTATATATAGAGCTTATGTACGTATTGTACATCTACATTACGCTTAATGTCTTGATCTTCTTTCTTCCTATACCTGCTATGCTCATACATTTCTTCATGGTAAAAGAGAGGGACGCTCCTAAAGAAGTTCTTCCATGGCCTCCTCCGCCTCATCTAAGACCAGTGTGCGCACGGATCGTTCTACCGAGAGCTCTGTCATACCAGCTCAACTCAAATTTGTTGTCTCCAACCTCCGGACGCTCGTGCCGACGCAGTTATCCATAGACAACTATACAATTTGGAAAAGCCAAATCGTCAAATTGTTCAAGGCAAATGGCTTTGAGCAATTTCTTGAATCACCTTCGTCTCCCTCACAAACGCAAGAAACTCAACATGAAAGAACCCTTGGCTTCGATACTATCTACGCTGCATGGTTAGTAACTGACCAAAATCTCTCGGCCGCAATTTGCTCCACCATTTCAACATCAATTCTTTCATACGTGCTACATCTTGATTCCATCGCAGCCGTTTGGAAAGCCCTTGAGGTTCGGTTTCAATCTACAAGCTGTTCTAAAGTCATACAACTCAAGAATGAGCTGTACAACGTCTCTATGAAGGCGCAGTCCATGACACAATACCTCAACACAATCAAGATTCTTGTCGACCAAATTGTCGCAGCAGGATCCACCATTGACAATGAAGACATCATTATGCATATCTTGAATGGACTTCCTCTGCCCTATCAAGCGTTCACGACATCAATCTGCACGATGTTAAATCCAATAAGTTTTAAAAAATTTTATGCACTGCTCATCAGCGAAGAGATTCATGTCAACATAGATGCCGCTTGAGCCCTGTCTAGCCCATACTCTCAAATTGCTATGTACGCCATAAGAGGCAGATCCGAAAGAAATCGTGGTCATTTTCAACCAAATCAACCCACCACTGGCAGAAATACTCAGCAACCTCCCTCAATATGCCAAATCTATAACAAGAAGGGCCATACTGCCTCGGTTTGCTGGCATCGCCTCAATGTCAATTACACCCTGCAGATCTCCTCACATCCTAACAAAACAATGGTCGCCACAACCGACTCCATGCTCACGGACTGGTATTTTGACTTCGGCGCATCACCATACATGAGAAACCGGTCCGACAATCTCTCTCAAGCCAAGACTACCAAGGCTCTGACTTGGCCACCATTTGAGACAAAAGAACTATTCTGATTGCCCACTCGGGCATCGGTATTCTTCCAACTCCGTTACGTAAGCTCCACCTATCTAATCTTCTTCACATTCCTACAATCTCTCACAATCGCATATATATCTCTAACTTAGTCAAAGACAACAATATTTCTATCATGTTTAATCCTATGGGTTTTCTTTTAAAGGACATGAAGATGGATCAAATTCTATTTCAAGGACCATGTAAAGATGGTCTCTGTCCTCTCACTAGTCGATCCGCATCTACATCCGCTTTTCAAGCTATTCGTACCTCCTGTTGACCTTGATTTTGCCCAGACCCAGGCCTAGGCTGACCTATTAGGCCTTTTTGAGCCCAAATCAATTTCTAATGCATTCAAACCCATCCAAGGCTCAAACCCTCATACTCCTTGGCCTAATTGACTGGTTTGACCAAGTCAAACTTTGACTTGGTCAAATCTAGCCATTGATGGGTTAAATTAACCTATTTAGAGCCCATTCAATGATATTTAATGCCCTAAATGATTTCTAATGGATTTTAAATTCAAACCACGGCCTGCTGAGCCTGGTTTCCCTCCTAATGACCCTCTGATTAAATCCAAGCCATCAATAATAGGGCTAGGAGGTTTAAATAGGAGAAGTTTAGTCTAATTTAGGACTTTTTGCTCTTGCATCCTGTAGAGATCGTCTCAAGGCCTGAAATTTCTTGAGAGAGCTCTAGAGAGATCCCCTCACTCTTTCCAATCAAAACCCACGGCCAAAACCCCGCCGGCGACGATCCTCCGACGACCCGAGGCCAAAATCCCTTCCAAGGCTTCATCCTGTCGATCGAGGCCGTTTTAGAGTTCGAGTTCAAGAGCGAAGTTGTTCCTGGCGAGTCTACGAGTCCAACAAGCCCAAGATCGTCCGAATCCACCGTGTGGATTGAGGTAAAACCTAAACCCTAAGTTAGATCACTTAGGATTAAATAACTTTTTATACACTGCATTATATTATGTAAAGAAACTTCCCCACGGATGCTCTTTACTATTAAGGGATGTGTCTAAAATTTCATGGCGTTTCGTCGAGCCGTTTGAGAGAACGAGGCAAAAAACACCCTGATCTCTCAGATTTGAACCGGTCTGCGGGATCTCGACCGTTCGATCCGTGAGTAATGGTCCAGATCGCGCGATCTGGAGCCTTGGTTCGCCCATCCATCCGCTCTGTTGAGAGATTGAGCCGTCCAGCTCGATCTGAGCCGTCCATCTGAAAAGGCGAAGGATCGGACGGCTCTCACGCTTGGTTTACGTGGCTAAGTGGATCGACACCCGTGCACAATGATTGCGCCAATCATTGTCGGCGGTGCAATTATCACGCCGCCAGGCAATGATTGCCCCGCGGTTTCGGGAGCCATTGGGAAGGCGCCACGTGGCGCACT